CGTGCGTGGGGCCAGGCCCGCAGAGCGGCAGCGGGCACGGGGGAAGGCGGCGCAGTGGCCAATAAAGCGGCCCCAGGTGAGGCGGACAGGAGGCCGGGGCCTGTGGCAGGGCCAGCAGTGAAGCCCATTAGAGCTGCAAGAGGTCAGGCTCGGTAAGCAGATGGAAAACATTAAAAAACACCTCCTGAAATTGCAGTGCAAGGTAATAATTTATATCCTAAAAAGAAATACAATAAGCTGAGGAATGGGACTGTGCAGCTAAGGCTTTAAAATCTGTAGGAAATATCACCCGCCCAGTGTGGCCCAGCCTCTAGGGCGCCTTTCCGGAGAGTCCGCTCTGTGCAGGCGGGTCCTGTGGGCAAGAGAAGCCGTGATCCAGGAGCCCTGACGCCGATGCACAGCATGTGGAATCCAGTCTCCACGCGGGCAACTCCTTTCCTTCGCGATCTCCGAGGTGATGGTTCACCGGCGGGCAGGACTCCGACCCGCTTTCCCATTCCGAGGGCAGTGCGTTCCACTCCACTGTCCACATAGAAACCAGGTCTACTTTGAAGTTTTACAACCCACAGGTTAAGACAACTTACAGAAAAGCGAAATAGAGGGCGACACCGAAAACATGGGAGTTAGAGAAGTTACATGCTGCCCTGTGTACATAAGGTAACAAAGTGTGGGCGGAGCATTTGTCAATCAATCAAGAATCTACAAGGTTAAAATGAGGGGGAAGAGATACAAGAAAAATATGTTCACCTGGCAAACTGCGAAATTAGGGAAGAGCCGTAAAAAAGTTTATACATTGCACCTGACAAAGTGCAAAATGGCGGGAAGAGTTGCAGAGAAAAGGTCATGCTCGTCCTAACCCCGATCTGGGGGCGGAGGGGGCAGCAGGATGGACAGGAAATGCAGAAGGAACCGCCTCGTGCTGAGTGAGTGATGACAGGAGACTTGACTGGAAGCGAGTGCAAGGTGCAGGCCACGCCTTCAGCAGAGGGGCCTCCCAGCACAGGAGCCTGTCAGTCAGAGACCCCGCGTTCCAGCCCAGAGCAGAGGCTGGCGTTCAGATACCGGGACGGCTTGCCAGCAATCACTGAGTGACGTCTGATCACCTGACAAACAGGGTTGATAACCCCTTGAGGGGACTCAGTGTCCAAGGAGGATTCGCGTAGACTGGCCCGGGAACGCCTGCGTGAGAGCAGTTAAAGGGCGAGTCCATGGTGCCCTTGGGACCTGTGCTTTCCAGCAGCCTCCCTCGGGGAAATGAAAGTAGGGAATCCTAAATTCAAGAAATAATCTCAGTTAGTGGTGAGTACTGATGGTAACTTTTTACAAACATTTATCAAATTCATTCGTCTGCATTTAGTGAGCAATGAATGTGTCAAGAAATGTTCGAGGTTCTAGAAATACTAATAGAAATAAAATTATGAGAGAGAGACACATGCCTTGTGGTAAGGACTTGGGTAATTACGAATGCAGGACTCAGAGGAGGGAGAGGAAGGAGTGGTGGTCCTGAGGTCCTTGAGGAAGCAGCGTGCTCAGGGGGTGTCTTGAAGAGAGTAGAAACCCCCCAGTGGGCCAGAAAGGAAGGCCGTTCCAGGTCCGCACAACGGAGGGGTAGACACACCAGCTGTGCCTGGACCACACAGATGCTCTGTCAGCATGGAGACCAAGGTGTGGACAGCCAGGACGAGGGCACAGGGTGCACAGGTGTGCAGAGTCCCCGGCGCCTCTTTAGGCCTACGACTTCTCCCTATAGCAAGCATGTCTAACTTGCAGCTCACAGGCTGTATGCAGCCCACAACGAATATTTTTGCGGCCCAGCCAATATAACAGCATGTAAGAAATGTTTTAATTAAAATTTCATAACTTAATTTTTACAATATCCTGTTATACATAATTATTAACAATTAACTACAACATTCACTAATGACTGGTTACTATCATCATGTTGCATTCATTTCCCTTACACGCCTTATGCGCAGGCGCACCATTTCTCACCACTAATACTGGCAGCGAATATTTTAGTAATCATTAGTTTTGGACTGACTTGTTTGGTGTGCGCAACAGGAAACATTCCACTTTCAGAGAACAAGAAAAATAGGTTTATTTGTGTTACGCTTATTAATTTATGCAGTTATTCAGTGTCTGGTAAGTTAATGTTCAAGAAAAAATATTAATTTTTATTAAAATGTTCTGTTATTTTATGTGAACGATGACTCATTTGTTTCAGCCCTTTGTATTCAGCATGACTCTATTGGACTAAACCTACGTTTCTATGGAAATCGAAGCTTTGGTTTGTTTGTGGCCACAGACACTCACACCTTGTTCGTTGGGCCCCTGGTGGCCTTGGAGTGTGACATGCTTGCCCCACAAGGATTCTTGGGAGGTAACCAATGACTCAGCACCACCTTTGTTGTGTATTTGCCAACTCCGGAAAGAGCGCCTTCTAGAAGCTGTCCCATGTTTCACTTCCTGTCATATCTCCTGTCTTTGTAGATCTCCCATCTGTGCTAGTCCAGAAGCCTGATGCTCCCCCTCCCCACCGGAACTCGGCTGGTACCTGTGCAAAGGGAACCCCTGTCGGTGTCCTCCCGTCTCTGGGTTGTTAGTCCGTCTTGTGTTCTCGGGGCAGAATGAGGAAGCTCCTTGGATCTCAGTGGTGGAGCTTCTCTGTGGCTGACCTTGGAGAAGGACTCGCTGCCCAGCACAGTCAGCTACCAGGTCAACCATCGCCTGCCCTTCAGAGGCTAACGGATTCTCTCAGCTCCGAGCTCTGCCCCGTGTGTGTCCTCTCCCTTTCTTCTCACAACTTGCACAACCAAAGGTGACTCTCAGAACTCCAGGTGAGTGGCATGTCGGGAAGTGGAGGAATTGTAATGACTTCATTTTGGAGGGAAATAATATTACAATTGTCATTGGACCAGATTTCGTAATAAAATAGAGCCTTGGAGATGAGGGCCACAGCTTGGAAGTCACATAAACGTTTTTCCTCTACCACCTCCACTGCGGGCCTCGCCCCTGGTGGCACCACTAGAGCTGGTGGTGTCCTCGGAAAGCCGGCGCACGTTGGAATAGCCTGAGCCGCGGGCGTCTCGTGGTCTGCACGGAGCAGGGCTGCGCGCAGTGGACCGTCACCTGGACTCTGCGTGTAAGGGGGCTCCCCTGAGGTCTTGTCAGGAATGCTGACTCCCTGGCCCCCCGGGACTGGGGCCCCACACACAGGTGAGAGGTGGAAGGGGGCTGTCCTCGCCACCTTGACGATGGTACACTTTGCTGGTGTCCTTCCTGGACTGACGCTCTTTGCACCTCCATATTTGAGTGTCACTCAAATATGACTTTCTGCTCATTTACTTGCCCATCCATCGCTCCCTGGACACCCACTGGTGTGAACGGCCAAGCGCTGAACAGGAGGACGGGACGCGTGCAGGAGGTTACCGCCCACCACATCAGTTTGCTTAGGGCCGAAGACAGAGAATGAAATCTTGGACTTTAAACTTGTTTCCATCAACTTGAACATACCATCAACATAAACGAAGAGCTGTCAGGAAAAACAGAGAAAGGTTTTAGCAAAGTGAATGAACAGCAATGGCTCCGGCGCCTCCAGTTTCCTCATCGTGGGGCCGAGGTCTGAGGTGGCCGGGGAGCTTGAGGGCCCAGCTTGTGAGAGGAGAGAAGGAACTGTGGGCTCATCGCCTCACCCTGTCAGGCTGGGGGCCCCTGTCCATGCCCAGAGCTGCCCGTCACCCTGCAGGCCCTCCACAGGTTCTGCATCACACTCAGGACCTGTTTCCAGGGTCCCCCTGGGTCTGCGAGGCGAGGCTCATTGCTCTTCTCTCACTCCCTCACCCTCTGGTAAGTTCTATCTGTTGTTCTGCTTTAGTAATTCCCACACCTCCAGTCTTAAGCTCAATCCCATCGTCTAGAATTCACATCATCCCTCTCCCCTAAACTCAACGTCTCCCAGCCAAGCTTGTCACCTTTCCCTAGCTGGGGTGGCCCCCTGTTCCCCATGTTGACCTGGACCTATGTTTCAATCTGGGTCCACATTTCCACCAACCCCTGGGTGCACCCCTCTCCCGCACAGCGCCTCCCGGTCCCTGGTCAGGGCCTGAGGAACCACCGGCCACCCCCGGGCCAGGGGCACACAGACGGTTCTGGTCTGCAGTTACCCACGGAGCCCTCCCCTCACTGTCTTACGAAGCAGCCTCAGCATGGACTTGGCATTGAGAAGTCAGGAGGAAATGCCTCAGGTTCTCTCGATAAGTTCCTCATTGAGCCTCTGTCTCCTCTTCAGAATCCACACTGTTCAGGGGTGGGGCTGGAGGCTCAGGAGGTGCAGTGAGTCAGGCGTTTGGTAGGAGATGTACAGCCACAGCTGTCTTGAGAGAAGTGCATGGTGAACTGCACAGACACGCCAGGAGGCACCGGGAACAGCCCGCTGAGGGCCGCCACTGCGGTGTGACCATGACCAGGTCATGTCCGTCACCGGGTAGACGGTCCAGACGGTCACCTGTTCCTGGGTCAGTGTGTTGGCGCGAGGCGACCTAGGACGAGGAGGACACAATGGCAGGCGGAGGAGAGGGTGGGAGTTCCTGAGGCCCCGCACAGCGCAGGAAGGTCATCGAATTCCTAAAGGTCATTTTCTTCATCTAGGTCCTAGATTCCAGGAAGCAGGATGTCATGCTCTCTGGGCAGCTGTGAAGATTAGAGAAGCTGTTATGCTGGGAACATTCTGTGCATGTTTAGATGCTCAGGAGCACAGGGATTATGAGAACGTGTGACTATTGCACACTATACCTACAGCAAATCCAGGCAGAGACTCACGGGGCTGGTTAACAAAGGAAGTTGAGAAAAAGAAAGAACGGTGTTAAGAACGCTCAGCGTGAAGACGCTGTGAGGAGATTTCTAAGGGCTCATGCTGGAGAGTAGCAAGTGCTGGGAGTTACACTGATATCGATGGGGAGGAGAAGGTTTGCATTTCGCAGCAGAAGAAAGAGCCGAAGAACCACAGCCTCACATTGTTATCAAAATACAATTAGTCCCTTTGAACAATTCCATAGTATGTTCAATGTGCTTCTCATCAGGTCAGCGGCAAAGAAAAGGAAGTGAGAACAGAAGGAAATTAGATCAGCACTTACAAAAGCCATAGAATCACAATAAAGTGTATGATATAGAAGTGAATATTTTATATTAAATTAGAGGCACTGGATTGGAATCAGAACTCTTGGAGTTCAGAGAACCTTTTATGAGCACATTTCCAACAACAAGGAGAAACTAAACATCTAAGTTGGAAACCCTTCTCCTACATAAAGAACAACAATAGTGAGTTCGGTGTCCTTGTGGCTACAATTCCGGGAAAGACAGTGGTGGCGGGTGAGCAAGGCGCTGGGCAGCCTTGTCCTGTGTCTCCAGCATCCTCATTCTGCAATGATTTAGCCTCCTTGGCTTTCATGTCCTCAGTGCGGGAAAGGCAGCATTGCTCCTATGTTGCTGCTTCTCATCAAGGAACTTAATATCCAGGCAGTTATAAAATCCCCCAAGAAAATCACTTTCCTATCAAACATGTGAGTGCTTGCCATTGTCTTTTTCATGTCATTACGTTATCTGATTCTGCTTACACGAATAGTTGTGTGTTTATGGCATCACAAGGTCAGAAATAAAGGACTTGCTCACTGTAAAGTATAAAGCAATCATTGTCTGGAAATCTGGAGACATACAAATTTATTTCTGAAAAAAATAGCCATGGACATTTTAAATGAGCTAAGATTTACAGGATTTCTGTCTGTATCATCACAGTGTAAGCAATGCGATAAGAGCATTAAGTCAATGTCAGCAAATCATAACTTGACTCTGTGGCTATTCTCTGTAACATGAAAACTGATCCAAATTAGAGTCTTAAAAATGAATTAGAAAAAATCTACCTAAACCACTTACCCGGTTTTCCTCACCAGCAGGCATCGTCCTGTGCTTCTGAGTGAGGCCACTGTCACAGCCCCCGAGCAGGGCCTTGGCTTGGACGCTCCCAGTTTCCATGGGACAACAGGTCCCACCCAGGGCAGCGCCCACGTGCTGCGCAGCGAGACTGGAGCAGGAGTTCACACGATAAAGCTTTTGAAACTTTAATTTACCCCCATGAAAGCTACATCTGTGTTCACCCATTTTAACTGCTTTTAAAAAATTCTTGGTGCAGTTATTTTAAAGATAACATTTATTTTCTACTTTTAAAGAGTATTACTCAACTCTTCTTTTACTTTGGAAAATAAGATAATGAAGTTAGCTGGATATTGTTTACATGGAATGTTGCTTAATTTTCATTTTTCACATTGACAGCAAACTTCACAGAACCCTAAGAACTCTTACATGTTAATCCAAAATATCTAGAAACACCTCACTGAGTGGCCAGGGTGGGGATACCTCCTCCCATGCTCCACCCAATGAAAACATTCCTTCTAACTTTTCCTAATGAGCAACCATGCAGTGATTCTCAAAGACCTCCAGAGGGGAGTCTTACGAAGAAATATTCAGTGGAGCCTCCAAGGGCATATGGCCTTTGAGAGTTTTAAATGAGAATAATGTCCAATTGTATAGGTTTCATAGCTAAAATCATTTTTTGAATTGTTTTTTAATCCTCACCTGAGAATATGTTTTCATTAATTGAGAGAGAAAGAGAGAGACATCGATCAGTTGCCGCCCACACATACCCTGACTGGAGATCAAACCTGCAACCTAGGTATGTGCCGTGACTGGGAATCGAACCCCAAACCTTTTGGTGTATTGGATGTTGCTCCAACCAACTGAGCCACCTGACCCAGCCAGGGCTGATGTCTATACTAATAAAAGGGTAATATGCTAATTAGACCAGATAAACTGGACGTCTTCTAGACGTCCTTCTAGGCGTCCTTTCTGACAAAGCCGCAGTGGCTGGGAGGGTCGAGGATTGCTGGCAGTGGCATCAGCAGTGGGGTGATGGGGGCAGCACCTTCCCCGATCAGCTTGGTCACCTCCTGCAGAGGGAGGCCAGACTGCAGCTGAGGGGAGCCGGTCGGCCTAAACCATCAGTAGGACATCCCCTGAGGCCTCCCGGACTGTGAGAGAGGGCAGGCCAGACTGAGGGAACCCCCCCCCCCAAGTGCATGAATTTTTGTGCACCGGGCCTCTAATCTCTAATATATATATTAGAGATTATATGGAGCTGGACTGAGCAGGAGGCTTGGGTTTCCCCTGGCGATGGAGGAAGCCAAGCTTCCTGCCTGCCCTGGTTGGACCCGGGCTCTGCTCAAGGCTACAAAG